TACATATATATGTGTGTGTGTGTGTATGTGTATGTATATATACACATACACACACACACACATCGAGTCTTTTTTTTTTTCAGTCTTAATCAGCTTTGACTTCGCTCCTTTGGAGAACATTTATTTCTTGAATATATATTTAGTTTTACCATCTTCATTTGAAAGCAAAATTCATCTCATTGTTGAAGGTTTATTGAAATGTTTTTATCATGTTTTATGACAGTTGTTGGGAAAAAAATAAATGTGCTTTATAAACAAATGAAACATGTATCTATTTTATGGTTAACAGATATTTAAGCTATGGCTCGGGTCCCAAACGATTCCCCTTGGTAGATGTTCTACAGTACGCGTTGGAATTTGCCTCCAGTAAGCCTGTTTGCACTTCCCCTGTTGATGATCTTGATGCCAGTTCCCCATCTAGTGGTTCTGTACCATCCCAGACATTACCAAGGTAAAACGTTTTCTTGATGGAAGAGACAGCTATGTTGCTATATTATGTAATAATGTAATTGATGCCTTTAAAGACGGTTTTATAAAATGCGTGTTGTGATTTATTTGAGTGAACTCTAAAAAGATTAGATTTACTTAGAAGAGTCTGTGTCTTCTTCGTGCTCTCTTCTTTTATTGTGGATCAGAATTTTCATTGCATTTTTGTTGTTCAAAATTATACTTTATGTTGTTTTGGTATGTTTTATATATCAACCTTTTATCCATGAAAATACTACTGTTAAACTAGAATTTTATTCTATAAGGTGAGCTAGTAAGGATTAGCAAGGGAAGGTTTTATAATTCCAGAATACATAAGATTTAAGTAAATATGATTAAGCCATTTGTACTGTAAAGCCCCAGTTTTATCCCTGTAATATAGTTCCATATGTTAAGGATCTTAATAGAATATTAGATTAATCCACATATTTCTATCTTTTTTTAAGAAGACCTTTTTCTTTTGAAATTATAAGCCAATTTAATGCTGTGTGTTTGGTATAATCTTTGTCCAGAGTTTGAATTTGGAAAGTTTAGTAATAATCTGTGCTTTAAAAACACAGCACAACAGACCAACAGGGAGCTCCTCCTTCAGAACTGCCAAGCACATCGCCTGCATCAGTAACCGCCGTTTCATCGAGATCAGTAGTACACAAGCCATTCACTCAGTCTCGGATACCTCCAGATTTGCCCATGCATCCAGCACCAAGGCACATAACAGAAGAAGAACTCTCTGTGCTAGAAAGCTGTTTACATCGCTGGAGGACAGAAATAGAAAATGACACCAGAGGTAAGAAGCTTCTCATAGCATAGCTACTCTGGCCCCGGATGGGTATGATTAATGTTAAAATTGAGAAGGGAAATCACCTGTGGATCCTGTGGATTATGAGTTTCATATGTAAATATTATAAAGAGTTTTTTATCCCCTAGAAAATGTTTTCTATAAGATAATATTATAATATTATATTATAATATGATCTTAATATTAGGTTCAGAGAAACCAAAAGATTCTCCCTGGATTACTTAGATGATTAATGACATAACAGATGGTTTGATTTCCTAGTTTAGTGCTCTAAATTTATATCAAACCAAATTCACAGCTACTCCATTGGTAAAACATTATATAGCATCAAATTTTGTACTTATCATTTATATACTTCCCTTGATGTTTGCGCAGTGAGTTCAAATGATACAGCATTTTCTTTAGGTTTAAGGATTAGAAATGTGAATTTTAGTTTTCAGTCTTATTTAGCAGAGATTTCCAAACATGATCTATCAGCTCAGTGCCAGTCTGTAACGAGTTTTAACTGGCATGTAGCAAAATAAGAAAGATAAAGACAGTGCTCTGTGTGTGTGTGTGTGTGTGTGTGTTTGTGTGAAGTTGCCATCTGCCCATTCTTGGGAGGAACTCTCCTTTATTCTGAAATTATCTCCTTTCTACTTTACTGTTATTAAAATACCCCTTTTTAATGAAGTGATGTTAATATTTTATGCTAGGTTTTATTATAATTTTTCTTGCATATCAAAATATAATACCCTATTTTTGCTCCCCAATTTTATCCTAATTTAATTGATCTATGAAGAAGAAAAATATAGGAGTTAACTGTTTTATACCAAAGAGCTAAAAATGTACTCTACAGTATTGATAGATTTTAGATGCCCAACGTGGCTCTTTACAGCCAATATGTAAATAAAGAGCAATCCTAATTTAATAGAGAGTAAATAGGATGTGGTGTTGACTAACAACTAGCATTAGTAACTGTAAAGATTTCCTTTAGTGTTTTTCATATATATGGGAATATTTTACATTTGAATTCATTAGTAAACATTAATTAAGCACTTGGCTTTTCCTGAATATTGTGTGAGGTGTTGGGTAATTTTCTACTGGACTTGGTAGATTGTATTTGTTTTTATAAGATTGCATTCAGAAGGCTGCAAGTTAGGAAACTTTGACACCAAGGTAGTGGCATTGAGGAAAGAAAGAAATGAATTTGGTGTATTCTTTGGAACTGACACACATGGATCATTGACAAGAGGTGAAAGAGAGGAACAGATCAGAGATGATTCCCTTAGTTATTCATAGTGAATATGAATTTGTATGAATAACTAAATGGATTTCTATCTGCACTTTGAAAAAAGGGAAACTAGTGGGTAGGCAGGCCCCTACCTTGGGGGAGGAAGTAGGAATATGATGAGTCTACTTTTGGCATTTTAAGTTTGAGGAACTTGAGAGACATTCATGCCATAAGATTGACCTGTGATACTATATATCAGGTAAGATTTTCCTTGAAGTATTTGTTTCCTCACTTTCATCCTTGTTGTATTTGCTGTTAGCTTTATTTTCTATATTATATAGTATTCCAGTATGAGTATGACATAGTTTATTTAGTTTATGTATTGGTACTACAGATAGTGCTGGGCTTCTTCATACATATTGGCACACTTTTTGAGTGGAATATATTCTTAAAAATGCCATTTTTGGTGCAAAGTATATATATTTTAAATTTTGCCTGCTTAAAAATTTCCCCCAACAAACATGAACCAGTTTACATTCCCCCTAATTTTATTAGAGAGAGCCTGTTTCCCACACTAGCCCTAACCCTGAGTGCTTTTTAATTTGTGATAGTCTGCTAGTTGAAAAAAAAATGGTATTTCTGTGTCTTGATTTGCATTTCATTAATTATGAGTGAAACTCTATTTTACTAAAAATTTCTTGTCCATTTTTTTATATTGAGCCATTTATCTTTTTTTTCCTGCTTAAATAAGAACTTCAGTTATGGGTATTAACTTGTTGCTTGTAGTATATAGGCTGCAGATAATATTTTTCCAGTTTGTTATTTGACTTCATGTTGGTTTTTGGGTTTTTTGTAGATTTTCTTAAATTTGGGAAGGAGTCTTATTTTTTCATTTCTGGCTGTTGGATTTTCTATTGGACTGGAAGAGGTCTTTCCCTGTTCTAACGTTACTAGTATGTTTTGTAGTCTTTGATGTGTTTTTCCTGATTCTTTTTAACAGCTTCATAGCATAGTGTGGTTATACTATAATTTAACCATTTCCTTTTGACAGATACTTAGGTTTTCTCCAATTTTTTTTTAATAATTATGGACAATATAACTGTGAACATCCCTGCCTCTGAAACTCTTATAGCGTAGATTTCTACTGGAAGTAGTAATAATGACTAATGGAAGTCTCATAACTTTATTTCCATTGGTGATTATAGTGGATTTTTTATTTAATTACATAATATATATGTATGTGTGTGTGTATATAAAATATGTGGTGAAGTTGTTGTATTTCATTCTGAAGTTTTCATGTTTATAAAATATGTAGAGGAGTTTAGCTTTAATTTTCACCGAAACTGTCCTTTATAGATTTGAACAAAATTGTTTTATTCCTCTGAACATTTTAAAAAGAACCATATTTGTTCTATTTTTAATTATGCATTTGTGCTTTATCTTTTATTAAAGAGGACTAAATTTCATTTATACAGACTCCAAAGAGTAATGTTTGTAAGAACAGTTTTACGAAATTTCCTTATTCCTCTAACATACTGGTAGGAAAACCTTTAGTCCTTACCTTTTAAGTCTCAGTAGAAACATACTTGATGTTAATCATTAAATGATGTCTTCTATCCTTAGATTTGCAGGAAAGCATATCCAGAATTCATCGTACAATTGAACTAATGTACTCTGACAAATCTATGATCCAAGTAAGTTGAATTTTGAGCTAGTAAGCATTATCAAAATTATTTATATTTTATCTTTATATTATTTATCTTAATCTGTTTCCTATACTTTTTGTTACAAAATTGCTTAATTTTAAGATTTCATATTAATATTTCCTTCATTCAGTTGTATTCTCAATACTGTATTCATTGCCTGCCTTTTTACTCTTTCATAGTGAAATTTATCACAAATTTCCAAAAGGCCTTAATATTTAAAAAAAATTCAGGGGAGAAATTATATGGTTGTTCAGGGATATTAAGATTATGGGAGAAAGCATAGGAAGGACTCTGATACACATTATTTACATTTTAACTTAAGTACATTATTTAAACCATTTTGCTGAACTCATCCATTAACTTATAGTTGTGAAGATTTAGACAAATCATGTACTGTATATTAAAATGATCATCATAAGTTCTTTATTCAAAGGGAGGAGGGTATAGCTCAGTGGTAGAGTGTATGCTTAGCATGCACGAGGTCCTTGGTTCAATCCCCAATGCCTCCATTAAAATAAATAAGTAAATAAATCTAATTACCCCCCCAAAAAAACAAAAACAAGAAATAAAAAAATAATTAAAAAATAAAAGAAATGCAAATAGGAATTTTTTTAAAAAGGTCTTTATTCAAAAGACATAACTTACAGAGCTCAGCAGTTATATTTCCAGCGTTTTGAAATGATCCTATTTACACACCTTTCTGTTTTACATGTCTTTAGTTTGCTTATTTTCCTCCACACCACTTTTTATTTCATAGTTTAATTTTTTCAAAAATTTAATCCCAGCAAATTTACTCTTGTGGAAAAAAATAAGCGCCTATGGAATCTGCCCATCAGATGGTTTGTGGATTTCATGGACTGTGGTGTAACAGACAGAATACTCAACTGCACTTTAACTCTTCTCTTTTCATATTTAGGTTCCTTATCGCTTACATGCTGTTTTAGTTCATGAAGGCCAAGCTAATGCCGGGCACTACTGGGCATACATTTTTGATCATCGTGAAAACAGGTGGATGAAGTACAATGATATTGCTGTAACAAAATCATCATGGGAAGAGCTAGTGAGGGATTCTTTTGGTGGTTATAGAAATGCCAGTGCATACTGTTTAATGTACATAAATGATAAGCCACAATTCTTAATGCAAGGTAAGAATATGAAATATAGAGAGTGGTATATATTTTTTAATAAGTAGCCCTTTTATGTGACTGTGGTCTCTGGTGTGATCTGTTAAGTGTAATTCACTCAGAGGATGATGGATATGATTAGGAAATGCTGTTGGGTTTATTATTAGTGAGAAAACTAGAATTGAAAATTAATGTGGCCAGGGCTGAGAATTGGAATCTTTAAGTTTGTATTCAAAGTTTACTATTTGGTAACTGTTATAAAATGTAAATCTGATTTCTTTTCTCCTTGTTAAAAATCCCTTTAATGACTACATCATACATTGACTCATATTCAAGCTCCTTAGCCTCCATTTTCTGGCCTGATGATCTCTGCAGCTTCATTTGTAACCATTGTCCATCACAAACTTTATATACTTTACTGATATTTAAACTTCTTGCTGTATTCTGCTCACACCAAATCATTTCACACAGTTATATCTGTATGTTCTTATGTTTTTTATTTTTTGCCAGTAATGATCTTATTTCTTTCTTCTTTTGTGTAATTCCTGCTCATCTGTCAAGATTCAATTCAGGTGTCATCTGCTCTGCCAAGTTTTCCTTGACCTGCCAGAAAGTATCCCTCCTTGTGTTCTCACAGCATACCTCTGTTGGGCACTTATTGTGTGTTGGGGTTGTATGTTGACTTGTCTTTTCCACTTCACTCTGATCCGCTCAAATCCAGGGACCATGTCATATAATGTCTTAATCTTTTTATTTCTCATATTCTAATATAGGCTTTGCATACGAAAAACACTTAATAAAGATTTGTTGAAACAGATAGAATCAACTTTCCTTTTGTATTTAACCATTCAGCAAAACCAAGTAGGCAGTTCATTCATGACTGAAGGCTAAAATTTATTTTGTGTGTGTAGTGTAGGTTGAGTAACCCTTTTAAATACTACTTATGTGATCTTTTAAAAAATCTTGCTGTATTGATTGGTTTACAAATTACTTACAAGTATATTGCTATACTTAACTGCTTCAGATGAAAAAGAATTTTAGTTGTTCTGAGCTTGATAGGTTATGAGCTATTTCTTTTCATTTTGTGATAAGTTTTACTTAATGAATAATCAAACATTTGGTATTTTATAATAGAAAAAGTAGTACTGTGTCAGTGTTTGAGTAGCAAACAATTCTGGCTTTATGTCTTGTTCCATTTTTTACTCTTCAGATTAAAAATAAAAGCTGAGAACATTACCTGTAATGGATTATCAAATATTTGCACCATTGCTTTTCTGAACATTTGAGTTTTCATTTTTAGGTAATATTGATTTGCTAAATGGTAACAATTTGTATTTTAAATCACATTTGAAATGCCTCCTGTTTTGAGTTTTGCGTTTTTCCTTTAATCCTTAATTTTATAATAGTTTTTGAAATATGATTTGCAGAGGAGTTTAATAAAGAAACTGGGCAGGCCCTTGTTGGAATAGAAACACTACCACCGGATTTAAGAGATTTTGTTGAGGAGGACAACCTGCGATTTGAGAAAGAATTGGAAGAATGGGATGCACAAGTTGCCCAGAAAGCTTTGCAGGAGAAACTTTTAGCAACTCAGAAACTGAGGGAGTCAGAGTCTTCTGTGACAACAGGTTAGTCCGTTTTTATTAAATTGCATTTTATTTTCAATATCATGTTTATAATTGATAGTTTATTATAAAAATAATATATGCTCTTGGAGGAAGGAAAAAAAAACTTTTGTTACTCTAAAGTATAAAGACACCAGCAAAAAATCATCTGAAATTCTATTACTCAGAGATAACAAAAGGCAACAATTTAGTTTACCTCTTTGTCAGACATTACTGTATACATATATACCTTTTTTAGGTTAAATGAGATGATTCTGCTCATGCTCCCTCTACCTATCCTGCCTGCTTTGACTTTTCTTGGCAAGAGGCTTGGAAAAGCTGTGAAACCATCAAGTAGCTCAAATCAGTTCACTAAACCTATCAGAAGAATGAACTCTATTAATTACATATTTGAGCAAAGTAATACTATTGTTATATCTATATAGATTTTATATAATACTGAAACTGTTAATGTAGAGAATTTATTTGATTTTTTTTTTAGAAATCTTAAAGTTAAAAACAAAGCTAGCAGAAACTAAATATTTAACATATTCCAAGTAAAATTGTGTATGGACCCATTAAAACAAGAATAAAAATGTATAAAAATATAAGCATTAAAAAAAATCATTCTATAGTTATCAACTGATGAAATCAATAAAATATTGGGACACTATAAAAATTAAATATGTTCTAGCAAAATTGAAAATAGAATGTCTTCTGATTTTTTAAAGATTAATTTCATCATCATCAAGTTGTGAATGTATTTTAGAATGATATATTTTGTATTGCAGAAAAGGTTCTATTTCTTTTTAGTCACTGGGGAAATGAGAGGAGATAGATTAAACATATTTTCCTTAAACTCATTTGTCTTTTTTTTTAATAACTAAGTAGATCTTTTTGAATCACCTCTTTTTTGTAAAATCTGTTCTGTGTGTTTTGTTTTTATTTCTTAAGGAAGCATTTTAGGTGTTTGACATACAGGTGCTCATGCAGCATTGCCTAGGTAGGTTTCAGCATTATCATCTGAACTTTGAAGGAATTACTTTTCAGTGAGAGAGATTTATAATACCACAGTGTGGTATGGTGATTGATGCAGGCACTCACAGATCTTCCCAGACTTATGACTTATTTTCATAAGAATTGAATAGCTGATGATCTAAGAGGGATTGGTTAGAATTTTTAAAAGACCAAGATAATAGTATTATACCAACAAAAATGCCCACATTTTGATACATAATGGAGTAGAGTATATCTTAATATCACCATTGTTGTCTCTAGTGAGCTCAACTATTGCAAGGACTGTAGTTTCTTCCTGTACATCAGGGGCCACCGTGTGGAACAGCTGAAACTCTGTGGTTTCACAACATGCAGTTACATTACAGTAACTTTGTCTACATTAGTAGGAAATAAAATAGCTCAGTAGGTATCAGTAGGTTTCTGTGTTCAAATCACAGTGTAGTAACCATATTACAGTTCCTTTCATTTTGGGGCCAGTTCCATCTCCCGGTGATCTCACCCCTTTAATTCTTCACGTATCCCTCCCAAACCGCTCCCCGGAACCTGCCCCATGATGGAGCCACTGTGTGACTCTTTCTTAACTTTGAAGTACCCAGTTTGCATGGAGCTGTTCTCCTCTTGCTGGTGGGAGGATGGAGCTGTGTAATTAGCTGCGTAATTGGTGAAAGTGGTAGTGGCACCTGAGCGCCCAGCGGAAGGCAAATCCTCCGTCCATTGGTTAAGCTCCGTTCTTGGCTCATTTATATTTTATAGCATTAAAATATTAAACTCTCTACAGTCTCTTTCTCTTCATCTTTTCTGTTTCTCACAAGACTCAATTTACAGACATTTTATTTTTACTAAGTCAAATTGATGTGTATTTCCCACTAATATTCCTATCTGACAAGACTAGCTAATTTTTCCCCATCCTTTTTATTTGTCTGTATGAAAAGAGCACGTCTGTATGCCCCACTGCCTTTTTTTCTTTGATCAGTACTTCCTGTCATACACTTTATATGCTGTTTTATAAGTTTTAAAATATTCAGTAGTAGGTATTGGTCATACAATTGCATGCCTCTCTTTTTAGTGTTTAAAAAAACAAACCTGAAGACAAATGCAGGTATATTTCTGAGAGAAGCTAGAATAACTAAAAAATAAAGAGACAGAAAAGGTGAATCCACATCTAACTGTTATAATCATCTTCTAGGCTGGTGTTTTAGAAAGCAGTGGCAATACTGCCTCAGTAGGAAACATTATGTCCTCTCTAGAATTGCTAGAAATACGTACTTTGAGTTAGTAGAAATAAAATGTGCTACGTCTATAAATTTGAGGAGTGAGATTATTGTTTAAAAGATTGGTTTCTATTACTGTATTATCTTAAATACCATACTAAGAAATCCATCCTCTGTTGCAGGGGAATTTAACGTAGCACAATTAAATAAGGAAATCTTTTGTAATATGTTTATTAGAACCATTCTTCCCTATTATTAGTAGAGAAATTTTACTTTGATGCCCATGCTATCATTTTTCTGTGTCTCTTCACATTTTTCAAAGTGATTTGTTTAATTTGGCATAATCCTTTCAGAATATCAAAGTGAAACCTGTATTTAAATCTCTCAGGTGTGCACTAATATGGGTGACTAGTGGACATAATGTAAGGAAATCTTGTTTATAAAATCCATCAGAGTAATTTTTTCTTCCCTCCTTGCAAATCTTCTCAGTATAGCTATAATCTAAAAACCATTAAAATTTAATTTTTTCTGAGTGATACTCCAAATTAGAATTAATTTATATAATATTAATTAAATGAGTGTTTATCTTCTTTAACACGTGACCAAGAAATCAATAGGCATTACTTCTCCAGCACCATTCATTTTCTTATTGAAACTAAGTAATAAATGATAGGAAAGTATTTTTAGTCCATCTCACTCTACCTTCATAAACCTGCTTACCCCAAAAGAAAACTGTGTTTAAAAAATTAGCCAATAGTTCTTAACTGTTACTGTATATATCAGAATTACCTGGAAGACTTTTTTTCAGAGTATAAACAGGACACCCCACCTAAGACCACCTACGACTTACCGGGATCAGAATCTGTGGAGGAAGAGTCCAGAAGATATATTTTTAAATAGATCTGCAGATAATTCTGAGGTGTACCTCTGGTTAAGCAGCATGGCTCTAGGCTGTATGTATAGAACAGAAGTTTCTCTGAAGGAGAGACAGGCTTTGCCTCAGTTCTTGTTTTACTTGTGTTACTTCTGTCTTATTCAAAAACCACTAGATGTCCTTATGACGTATATAGCATACTCAGCTTTCAAAAACAGAAAGAAACTGAAACCAAAAAGTTAAGAGTAGAAAAAATGGTTAATACTGGTATGAAATTCATTCCAAAAGATTTCATAGATTTTCTTAGAGGTGGCGTGCAGAATTGGCTCTGGGAACTTTTCTGCTGTCTACAAGTCAAAAATCAGCTGATGCTCCAGGAGTGTACAGCTGGTTCCTACAAGTTAGACCTGGTAGAATGAACACTATCCTCAACACTCTCAAGTTCCTTTAAAGCAGGAACTGGGTGATGTTTTTATTTAAATCTCCAAATCTAGCATAATAAATTACATATGATAGATACCCCTTCTGTGTTTTCTGATTTGATTTCATTCCCTATGGAGATTGCAGTCATGAGTTCCTAGGGGCAATCCTCAGTATATGGGAATACCACGATTTAAAAAGTATAGTCAAAATAACTACATTATGGAAGCAGACTAAAAATACGTAGTGCAGATACAGCTCTATATCCTGGATGAATTTTAGGTTTAACATTGGTTCCTAAAGCCTCTACCTGCCACATTCCTGACAATCTTGTTTGTGGTGGCATCCAGGAATCTGAAGTCTTCAGAGTTTTTCTGATAATTCTGTGCAGGAGCCTAGCATGGCTCTTGTAGGCTGCTTTTGGAAGATCATTGATTTTAAATACATTTCTAGAAACAAATGGACTTATTTGCTTTGAAGCAGTCCTCTTTATTCTTCTAAATGTGAATGTAATAATAGTAAGTGTGACTCATTAGTAAGTCACAGTATGAAATATTTCTGAAAGATATGAAATACTGCTCCTTTTTAAATAGTTAATTAAAGAGCAGATCCTTATGCTTTAACAGAAAGCCCTTTGTTTGTCACGTTGACTCTCTTAAAATGTTGAAGAATGTAACCAGGAAATAGGCAGAAAATATTCTCAAGGCCCTCCCAGACCCTTACTTTAGACAGGAAGGTAGACCAAAGGAGCAGTCTCAGAGTGCTCCCAGGTTGTTAGATTTTATGTAACAGCCAAATAGGTGAACGAAGCCCCCCCATTATGAACACAGAGCTTGGCTAGATAAAGTCTTATGTGGAAGATAGCTATCCAGAAATCTCAGTGAAACACCCATAGAACAGGTAAATGATTTGAGAGATACTCTAGTTACAGGGATACCTCCACAGAGAACTGGTCATTCACAGTCGAACAAGTGCATTCAGGGGTTTGTAGCTGCAGATAGGTAACCAAGGAAGACTTCCAGGAATTAAGAATAACAAATGTCACCGCTGAAGCTTGAACAATAACATATTGTTTCATAACTGAGGGACCGGTTAGTATAAAAATGTCAGTTAGAATATAAAGCAAACAGCATAGCCTCTCGTTACTGAGTTCCTGCCATTTATATAGGCCAGCGGCGGTGCGGCTTCTGGAGACTCACAGGGTGAACAAAAACCATTGTGTGTATTTGCACACAAAAGAGCCAGAGTGTTTGTCCAACTGTTGTTTTTAACAAAGAAATGGAAATTCCCTAAATGTATGGCAAGATATTAGTTGTATGAGCCTTTCATACAAAACAACATTGTATAACCAGTAAAAAATATATTGACAGGAAAATTGTTATATTAAGTTAAAAGAAGTGTATTCATAATGGTTCTTTTTGTTTAAGACAATGGGAAAGTCTGGAAATATATAATACTAAAAATATTGATAGTGCTTAACTCTGCATAGTGGAAAGACCATTTTATTTTCCTCCTTTGGTTATTTGTTTGTTTTAGTGAACACGTTTTTTACTCTTCCGGTTTGACAAAATGAAGCCAAAACCTTTTTTCTTTTTTATGAAAACCCTCTATTACAATCTGACTCCCTTGTAATTCTTTCAAGACAACCTTTCTATAAATACGTTATGTTTCATCTAAACCAGATTATTCCCCATTATTCTTAGTTGTAGGGAACTTTCCTTTTATTATAGGTTTGCTCACGAAGTACCCTTCATTTGAAAAATGTCCTCTTACCTTCACTGTTCTTGAAATTTTATCCATTCTTTAAGACCTTCCTCATACCCCAAAGTCTTTATGAATCTCCCTAATAATACCCCTGCAGCAACTATTGTCTTTTTTCCTCTATTCTATTCCCAGTCTGTTCTCACTACCAAATTTATGTTATATTTTTGATTTGCTTACCAGTGTAAAGGCTCATTAATAACAAGGACTTAATTAATCTTTTATCTGTCCTTACCAGTGCCTTTGCATGTGCTGTTCCTCCTACCTGGAATTATCTTCTTTCTAATCTCCAAGATAATCTCTGCAAATCCTTCAAGACTCATATCAGTTGGCATTTCTTCTAGAAAGTCTTTCTTAAGATGCAGCATCATTCCAAGTGTGTATATTGGGTCCACAGTGCTTCTGTAGGACCTTGTGCATAAGTCTTTTATTGTATTTAGTACTTTGTACTGTAATGGAATATTTATTTATCTGATTTTGTTGAGAGGTCTTTAAATTTAGTGAATGAATTTTACATCTTTTTTTTTTTTTTCCCCACACAGTACTGAGAATGGCACTGGCTCAGTGAACATGTTGGAAATGAGATTTGGGGTTTTGTTTACAAACTTCCAGATCTCCAGTCCTTGTAGGTTCACCTACTGTGACTACAGCACCACTCAGATAAGTTCCCTAGAAGATACATACACAAGGAAAATTCTGGAGGAAATAGTTCTGTATGACATTTAGGCAAAATCGTTCAGCATCATTTATGAGAATTTTAGACTGAAATTGCTATGTGGAAGGAAACCTTGACACTGGTGACCTAAAGTATATTTGACTGTGTTGATCAGATAAAAATACTTTTGCTCCTAAGGACCTAATTTACATACACTGTCCAGGTTTCCATGGCTTAGACCAGTGTCAGAACAGATGGATTTCTTGGCCCTCATTGCATTAAGCTCACATCCTATTAGCCATTGATGTTTTTTTATCTATTACAGTGAGAAGAGACAAAGAGGGGCAAGCATAAGTGATCAAAGCTTTATCAACAAGAAGTTTCTCTCTGTTAAGCCCTAAACCAGCTGGCTTAAGTCACTGATCATGAAACCTTCCAGAAGCAGAAGCCTTGCTGAGCTGGAACCTAAGATTTTCTTATCACATAGGGACAATGAAAGAACATTGCAGTACAAAGTCAGGATATACAGAAATGAGGACATTTAATTTCTTTTTCTCTGCCCATCACACACATTGTAAGTTTTAGTTCCTTCCTTTAGTTTTCCTTGTCATGGTATACGTTAGCTCCTTCATCCTGCTTATTCATGCAAAAACTTGAGTCATCTTCGCATCAGTCTCCAAACCTTTGTCTAAAATATATCTTGACTCAGTTCTCTCTGTTGCTGTCCCTGTTGTCCAAAAGCACAGTCATTTCTTGTATTGTTCTGGTACCTTCTAGTACTTCCACTGCTTCAGATTTTACTCTCCTCTCTAATCCATTCTTCAAAATGTAGCCAGATAATTTTTTTAAACCTGCCCTGTTGCCATTGTATTTAAAACATTTATTCACTTCCTTTTGCCCTCAAAACTTTTATGTGACTCACAGGCCTCTATTTTATGCTTAACCTGCATCTTCTCTTGCCATATTCAAGAGGAGCTCTTGTACTGTAGTTCAGCCATTCTAGGCTCATGCTCACTTCCTGGGCTATTCATTCTTCATGTGGCAAACCTTATCTATCATCCTTCAGCTAAAATCTAAATTACCCCTCCCCCATTTTATCCCCAGAATGTATTATTATAATATTGTCACAATTCGTATGTGTGATTCTTTGGTTGATAACTTTTTCCATAGTTGACTATAAGCTTCTTGGAGGCAGGAACTGGCTGCTTTGCTCACACCGGGAGTCCCAATGCCTAGCCTAGTGCCTGGTACTTAGATGCTTAGTTAAAGATTACTGGGTAAATGAAAGACCATGTGTCTATGTTGAAAGTATAGCATTTCTTTTTGAATGGTATTTCATTTTGAGAGATGTTTTAAATTAATCAAATATTGGGAATAATGACAGTAACCTTGCCGTTTCTCACCAGTTGGTTGAGCAAGAACTCAAGTAACCTATCCCAGTAACACTGTAGAATATTTTCACGTACTTTCTTATTCCTCCTATCAGTTCATTTGTTCCATTATGTTATTGTGTGCTTATTACATGTTCGATGTTAAAGAAACAGCAGAGTACAAAAGGGAAATAACATCCCTGCTCTGGAGATGCTTACAATCTAGCAAGGGATATGGGCTTGAAACAAATACTTAATAACAGTAATGAAGTCACAGTTGTGATAAGTGCTGTTAACAAGAAAGTATAAGCTACTCTTGAGCAACAGTTCTCATCTGGGAGTGGTTTTGTTCCTCAGGAGGCATTTGACATTACTGATTGTCACACCTTGGGGGTCAGTACTACTGGCATCTGGTGGGTTGATGCCTGGATACACAGGACGACCCTCTACACCAAAGAATTGTCCAAACCAAAGTGTCAGGAGCACTGAGGCTGAGCAACCCAGCTCTAGAAATGGGGTAATCAGGAATACTTCTGTAAGAAAGCGGTATTTAGACAAGAGACTGTGTAGAAGTTATTAGATGGGTGAGCAGGGGAATGAGACTAGGTGAACTTACAGGCAAAGGGAAGAAAATGAGGAAGATCCAAAGGTTGAAAAGTAAACCTCTTCTTCAGTGTATTGGATAAGCTGAGAAAAGGCTAGTGTGTGTGTCCCTTTTTGATCAAAGGGCAAAGGACACCAGGTGATGCTGGAGAGATAGGTGGAGGCTCACTTATGTAAAGCCTGGTAGGTTGTATAAGGATTTTGGGGCTGTCTGTTAAACAGCCAGTGGACTTCAGAGTACACTGTTGGATCTTCAGGGTCTGGAGCTCAGAGCTTAAGCAGTAGATGACTTGGAGAGTTCTTTGCAGAGATGGTGTTTGGAGTCTTGAATTTATATTGGTACCACTTTGCCAAGTTGTAATTGTTTTTCCTCTGACAGCACTCAGCTACCAGGAATAGGTTCATAAAAGACAGAAGGTGGGTTTATTCAGGACTAGAGTTTTGTTAGATAGGTGTGAGAAAGTGTATTATTGTGGCCAGAAAAACAGCTGCTGTGCTCTCTGCGGAAATTCAGACCAGGATTGTTATACAAAGGAATTTTTTTTTTTTTTGGTAGAATGCTAGTGATTTTTCAGAGTGAGATTTTGGTACTTAACAAGACAGAAAAATTTACTGTGAATTTCTTAGCATAAACTATACTGAGGGCTTTCTTTTGTAATTATTTGACTAATCTTGGATCTGATTCCTTTTTTTTATGGTAAATTCTGGGGGATGTGCTGTATATTGAAGGATATATTACTTTAACTAGAAGAGTAAAATTGATTATTGTTTAACTTCAAATGAGAAATAACAGATTCATCTTAGTATAGACTTTGTGATTTATATTAGATATACAATTGATTCTTTTCTCATGAAGCACAAGCAGGAGAACCAGAATATCTAGAGCAGCCATCAAGAAGTGATTTCTCAAAGCACTTGAAAGAAGAAACTATTCGAATAATTACCAAGGCATCACATGAGCATGAAGATAAAAGTCCTGAAACAGTTTTGCAGTCGGTAAGAACTTTTCTTTTAGCTCTCTGATCATAGCCGTCATGCTCACGAGGTTTCCTGGCAGTGTAAGGAGAACGCCCTGTCTGGGAGTCAGGAGAGACTGGGCCGAGGGACTGCTCTTTCATGAAAATGATCAGTGATTGCAGGTGCCACCTGCAGTCTGTAATTTCCTCAGCTGTAATTTTTAAAATACTGCTTTAAAAAAAAAAATTTCTTTCTGTTAGAGAATTATGAAAAATCATAGACTAAACTGGTCATTTGATTTGAAACTTAAAAAGAGAAGTACAAAATTTAGCATTATTTTTCCTTTCCCTAACCTTCCCTCCATATTTAGTTGTATTACATTGGAGTAGTTGGGAATGTAAAGTATGATTTTCATTGTTACCTAGACTGTGTCAAACAATCAAATACTAGATACTCTAGGTTAAAATATTATTAGCAGAACAAATATGATACCATAAAACAGTTTTTGCATACTTCAAGGGTATCCTGTACAAAATTGTCATTATATGGCTCCTGTATTATAATTTAAGTAATCAAAGGTATCTTTTTATAACAGTAAGTTGAGCACATTGATACTGTATTATGTTTTCAATGAATATATCCTGAGAGATGTTATTGCAAGAATTTTGTACTACATAACAATTCAGTTGCTGTAGTGTTTTACTTTTTATTTTATTAGTGAGTACAGGCAGCTCAAGTACATATTTTGTGATAGCTAATTTTCGTATTTGAAGATTCCTCTCCTAGGAGAACTAAAGAAAACAGGACATCTAATTTTTCAATACATAATTTTCTACTTAATGAACTTAATTCCAGTAATAGCCTGCTAATTTCAGTGAGGTCTTTAATATGATAAGACCTTGATTAACCAAAATGTTCAATTAATAGGGTATTCTGTTAATTATGTTTTGATGAACAAAGTAGTAAGAAATTATTTTTAAATTTTATTTCCTGTTTGAAGAAGTTTGATATATAATCATCTTACTATAACATATATATATTAATACAGGTATTTTTCATTATTCCAAATTTTGCAAATAACCTTGAGACTATGAATAAGCTTGAGATGAGGACCTGCTAACTCTGAAGCACTTCCTGAAAAATGCTTCTTTTAATGGATCTGAGGTGTCTCCTTTTTGGAGAATGGTAGAAGAGGAAATCTGCGGGAGGGAGAAAAGTCAGAGAAGTAGATAC